ATGCTAAGGGCCCAGCCTGCCAAGATATTAACCGCTGTCGGCGGGCCTCAGGAGGGCCCAAATTTTCATGTTTCTCAGTTATCATCTGTCCCTTTCGAGGGATTTTGATATTTAATATTTGAGACGAAATATATGTAATTAAAAAAGTAAAAAAAATTTAGAAGTAGTTAAGTGATAGTCTGCAATATCGGTCAAGCATAGACCCCCAGTTACTCGATCTAATACTCCGTGAAAATGTAAGAAATTCTGCAGGATGCATGCATTGTAAATATTGATTCCAATTATTCTTTCTTCTATTTCTTTCATTAAATACTATCTACTATTATTATTGATATTACTTATTATTACTGGCTAACTATCCATTTTTCAAATAAAAAACGATACTCCAACCATCTCATTCGTTATTCTTAAATAAGTCATGAAAGGTATAATGAACATATCTAGTCTCCGCATTGGATCAAGATCAAGGTTTAAAAATTTGCTAATTCACATGGAGCTATTGAACTGATCCAACTAACAACTAAAGCTATATGCATTATATGGATAGAAAGCAACTAACTAGGACCATTCAAAATAAGAATATGACTGAACGATTTTAAAATCTATTGATCCTAACAACTGGTTGCAGAGTAGATCATTTGAACCTTTTCAATTCACAGATTTAGCTATTGGATATATGAATGGGGATATTCTCCAAATTCACAAACCATGGAAGTAAAAGTAGAGATGGTTAGAGAATCTTCAATGTTATAAATTTACTAGATTTGATATTCGTGGCCACCAATATTATAAGTCTATTTACAATAATTATTAATTTTAAAATAATGTTGAATTTTAAATATAATTTAAAAGTAATAAAATTTTAAAAGGTGGAAATATTTACATTTTTTATTGAAAGAGTTCAAACTGCCTATAGTTTTATTATTGATTACAAGATTAAAAAAGATAAATATAAAATATAAATAAGAAAAGTAATTGATGGATTACAAAAAAAAAAAAAATCTAACCACTAAAATTTTGTTATTTGTAATTTATTTTTATTGATCATATATAATCAAAAATAAAATTTATGTTATTTAAAAATTGATTTTATTTTATCTAAATTTACTTTTTATAATTACAGTTTTTCTAAATTCAATGCAAACATACCCTTCCCTCTTAGAAAATAAAGTTTGTTAGTTAAAAATTGAGATAGTTGATATTAGTATCTGTTACTATTTTATGAAAATATTAAGATTAAATGTATTGTAATCAAAATTATGAAAATAAAAATAGAATTAAAATGAAATTACAAAAGGAAAAAGTATGACTTGTTAAAAAATTTAAACAAAGGAAACACAAGGAAGTGGAGTTGATTGTTATTGAGCACTCCCTTAGTTCGCAAGTGTGCATATTCAGGTATTTATTTATTATTTCTTACTTATAAAAAAATACATATCAGAAGAATAAAACACTTTCCCGATAAAGCATCACGTAACATCAAATATATGGCAAATTTATATTAATACAAATAATTTTTTTCCTAAAATAAGTGTTTAAAAATTTATTTGTCAAAATAAGTTTTTTAATTATGAGAAATTAGTCCTTAAAACTTTGATTTTTGACTTGGGTTTGCAGACGAGGGGCATGAGTTGCAAGAAGGCAGAGAGAGGGTGGAAAGGAGTGTCGAAAGGGGCTAACCCTAGGCTACGGCTGCAGCAAGCCAAACGATGCTTGACATAACCCCACATGCTGCCATCCAGATCTCACTATTTGTAGAGAGTACTTATAATTTAAAAGGAAGAGGCCATCCACACAGGCAACGATTGTGGCCGAGCTAAGAGGCGTCTGGCAAAGCCCCACATGCCGCACATCCAGATCTGAATAGCTAAATTTATTGAATAATTTTTATTTTTCGGAATCATTTGATAAATTAGATAAAATAAAATAAAATAAGATAAATTTTGAGATAAAATATCTTAATTGTATAGTGATTTGAATAATTATCTTATTTGGCATAGGTAACGAAAGTAGCAGTTAGTGGTGATAGCAAAAATAATATTGTTTAAAAAAGTTAGATAAGGGTCGAATAAAATTATCCTAACATTCTCTCTGTATAGTTTATTCAGATTTGATTTTATTATTATCTAATTTTTCTCTTACCAAATTTTATTCCATTCTGTTTTATCCTGTTTATCAAATATAGATAAACGTACCCTTACCCACTTATCAAATGAGCCATCTATAGGTAGTCTAATCTGGACAAGTGGAGTATTGTATAGTTTGGTCACACCCAGCAATGCCACAGTTGCAACTCATGGGCAGAACATCCCATCTCCCCTTTCCTTTTTCCCCTCTCTCTTCTTTCTTACTGCTGATAACCCTGGTTTGTTGTTACAAATCCAAGTAAAAAAAAAATCAAATTTTCAATAAATTACAATAAAGATTTATTTTGATAAATAAATTTTAAAAATTTATTTTAGTTAAAGAATTATTAATATTAGTATTAATTTGTCTGGACGACACCGCCCGAAACAATGCAAAAACTTGGACACCACGAATTAAGAGGCGTCCCCTTGAGCAAAAATTAAGCTAACAGGCCCGCCCAACGGAGGAATGCGACTAATCCGTGGGCCATCAAATCAAATGGCTGATTTCTTATCAAGATTTGGGTGGTCAATCATGCGGCCGGCGGCGTTGATCCCGAGGAATGACACTTCATTTCCACGCATCACGTTCCTTTTCCTTTTCTTCCTATCCTTCTGTAAGCCTTCTAAACGTCCCCTTAATCATCGTCCCCCCACATGGGACCCGTTGAAGTTGAACTTGAAGCTGCGCCACTGTGTTTGGCTCCTCTGCGTGTACGAATATTTAATTTCTCCATTCACCTAATCTCGCATTTATTTATAATTTTAAATACGTAAAAATCAAAATTTAACATTTATTTTTCAAAAAATTTATATATCTCAATTTATTGTAAAAATAAAAAAATTGTAAATTTTTTTCACTCATCAAAATAACAATACTAACTAGAATTATTAAAATTCAATTAGTTTAATATAATTTTAAATAAATCTATTTTGTACACAGCAAAATATAAATTTGGCTTCATTTAAACTTAATAGCTTAATGTTTTTAATATTATATCTAAGATATTAGTGTACTAATCTCTCTCCCTTTATATATGTATGTAAATATGTATAGCAATTTATGAAATTATTATTTTTCAATCCAAATGACTGTCTTGTATACTTCTTAATTATTCTCATAATTACTCATTGAACACAATTTTTCTGCTTCAAATTTAAAAGTTTGAATTGTGAAAACGGGTCAATAAATTTTTTAAATTTAAAAAAAATTAAAATTGTACAAAAAATATACAAGTTTTATTTTAATAATAACAACATTATTTTTATATATTAAAATAATTATAAAATTGACTTGTAATGGGATGTACGTCAACTTGCAAAATATGTTATATTAATAGATATAATAATTAAATTTAAAAATAATAGTTTTAATTTGATATGATGGGGGTAAAAATGTAAATCTAATGGGTCGCGGAGCTGCCGGCGGGATTGCGAGGGACATGGCGTGGATTATTAGCAAAAGTAATACTCATCAGTGCTGTGCATGTGCACTTTGTTAATTCGTTAATGTATTTTATATTTAAACTTCTTGCTTACATTTCATTTACCATATAACACCGTGGGGAAATTATATTTTAATTTTTGTTTTTTTAGTAAAAAAGATTCCTAGTAGATTTTTTAAAATTAATTTTGTAAATTTAAAGTTTCCCAAGAATATGACACCGACAGATCATCCGCCTGACAGTGATCCGCCCGTCACTGCGTCCCTCGTCCTGTTCCTGACACGTCGGGCCCACGGACCGCGATCCTGTGCAAGGGTCCGATCAGATCATTCTGCTTCTCGCTGGCCCCCTCGTTGTCCTCCAACCTCATCGTCACCCTCCCTCCCCGCCTGACCCCCCCAACTCTGATCAAGTCAATCAACGGTCAATGATTGCCCCTCCCACCGAAAGACCATGAACTTGGGCCCACTGTTCTCACGTGCCACATGGGATGGGTTTGGTCAGCAATATTCCCTAACGCCTAATTTGAAAGAAAAAATCTAAAATACGGATAAATTTATATCATTATTAATATTTTTAATTTATTAGAATAGGTTTTTAAAAAATTATTTCCTAAAATAAGTAAAACATTGTAGAAGTTGAGAAATTAATATACAAGAAATCAATTTTCCAAAAAAAAAAGGTTTTGAAAAAACCAACTTGTTTTCTCATAATCAATTTATCAAATTTTACAATATTTTACTTATTTTGGTAAATAATATTTTAAAAACCTATTTTGATAAATATAAAAATTAATATTGATATAAATTTGTCTTAAAAATGAGTTATTTGTATTTTTGAAAGCAAAATTTTAGTTTTATATGTTATTTTTGAAATTTATTTTAAAATAAAATTTTTAGAGGATAGGCTCCTCAAAAAATGAAAAATATTTTAAAATTTTTTCAAAAGATATGTTTTGCTAAATAAAAATAATAGATTTATTAAAATTTTTAATTTTTTAAAATATAAAATATAAAGACATAAATATAAAACATAAAGAAAGAGGCAAATGCAAACATGCCTTTATGTTAAGGAAAAAGGGCCTCCAAACAAAACTCAAGCCAAACGCATCCATCAAAGGAAGGAAGTGATATTGGATCCGCGCCTTCGCACGTGTAACGCAAGTCCCTCCCTCCCCTCCCTCTACTCGCCAGATTCCTACCTGAACTCGCCCAGACGACGTGCGGGCCAACCCACCTCCACCATCACCATTCCGGCGACGATCTAGTGATTCGCGGTTCGCCGAAGACACCTCCTCCGACGTACGTCCTGCAGATTTACCGCGGCTCTTTCGCAGAATAAAGACCTAGTTACTTTTAATTAACGAGATCTAGGATAGTTTGACACACTAGAGACACTAAGGGGGCTTCTCCGCGGTTAGAATTGCGAGATGGAGTCGATACTGGCGCGGGCGTTAGAGTACACACTCAAGTACTGGCTTAAATCGTTCTCCAGAGATCAGTTCAAATTGCAGGGCCGCACTGCACAACTTTCCAATTTAGGTATTGTCTGTTGTTCCTGTTTGGAAAGGTGAAAATTGGGGTTGTTTTGTTTAGGGGATTGAGCACAGTGAGATCTGATGCTAAATTCTCTGTCATTTTCTGGAATTTGGTAGATATAAATGGCGATGCATTGCATGCGAGTCTGGGTTTGCCGCCGGCACTGAATGTTACCACGGCGAAAGTTGGGAAGTTAGAGATTGTGGTGGGTGACATATTATGACAGTATTTCGAACCTATCGATAAGTATTACGCTGTTCGGTGCTACAAATTTATGCTCTGATTTTTGAAAAGCAAACGAAATTGGTATCTTAAAATGCCAACCAAATCAAGCCTGACGGTAGTAGAAATGGTTTTTTTTTTTCTACCTCTTCTCCATCAAGGAACTTCAGAAAAGTGATCATTTCTGTTTTTCCTTTTTTTTTTTACAACAACAGAATAATCATGCACTGCTATGTGTTCATATTTATCATTTAGGTGGTTGCTTTTTCTGGTGGTTTATTTGTTTAATTTTGGCAATTGCTTCTTTTGATTAAATGATATGAATTTTGAAGCTCCCCTCCGTGAGTAATGTACAATTAGAGCCCATTGTCGTTCAAATCGATAAGCTGGATATGGTTTTGGAGGAGAACGACGATTTGGATGCATGTAAGAGTACAAATAGGTAAGACCACTTTTCTTCTGCTTTATTTTATGTTTTAAGATTTTAGTAATTTTCTTACTTATTGGTCTTCTGTGATGAATTTATCCGCGTTTCTCTTCTATTTTTAGTTTACAGTCACCCCCCAGCGCAGGGAAGGGAAGTGGTTATGGATTTGCTGACAAGGTTAGTTACTATTAATTGCTTCATTTGCTTTGCTCTGCTTCTTCGGTGATGTTCTTCGCTTTTGCCAGTAGGCAATTTGTGGACAACTGGAATGCAGTTGTTTAGGATGAAATACCTAGCAGAATCTTGTGGATTCTATTTCTTTTGTTTCTTTGACATCTTTCTTGCTATCATAAGGAGGATCTTTAACATCTTTCTTGCTATGGAGTTTACATACATAAAGAGGACCTCCCAGCTGCCATGCTTGCCACTTTGGGCCCTCATTTTGGTGTCAATTAGGTCAGATATGTCATGTTGATTAAGACACTCTGACTGAATGTTTGATACGGAAGATTGGGTGGTGCGCTTGAGAATTTTTTCTATTTTTGCCCAACTAGTAATCCAGTGGTTGCAAGATCCTGAATTACTGGTCCAGCCTGATCCCATGTTTCTCTGAGTAGAAAGGGATGCGATTGATTGTCCCTTATATGGGGAATTATGAATACCCGCATGTCTCCTGGGAATTGTAAACCTCTTCTTATTTAATCCTCCTGATTCCCATTGCTAGTTATCTTGTCCCACTAAATCCAGTACTTGAGCCAAAATTTCCCGACTTTATTACTCCATAAAGAAGCTGATCTTTTGGAACATTCAATTTCATTATCAAGGCTAGTGCTCTATTGATTTCTTAAGTTAGAGATATTAAATTGTAGCACTCAAGGAATATGAAATGGGGGTGATAGTCCTGAGCAATTTGTTGTTCTTCCAACATATCATTCCTCTCTAGAATATATATATATATATATATATATATGCTTATCAATTTTTTTAATTAACTAATTGGCAATAAAATGATTTTTTTTAGTGACCGTGTCACAACTTACTCCTTTTTTCTCTTTTTGTAAAGACGAAGAAAGAACTTTTATTTTCTCTTCTATTTAGTATGGCGACGAAGAATCAAATTATCACTATATTTATTCCTTTTTCTACTTCTTCCAAGTGTAGGATAACCCCAAGGAGTTGTGGGCTTTTTTGTACCAACTGGGGCCCTTTAACTCAGACTTAGCTCCCTTCTTTTTGGTTGTGAAGCAGTGTCAAACCAAAATACCCAACAAGCATTAGCAACCACATGCTCCACCATTTGTGTGGGACTCCTCAATTCCTTTGAGTTTCATTCTTGTGAATGTACTCCCTAGGTGGGATACTTAATGCATTAGCTACAGCACTACATGCGTCAATACGCATAGCACCTAGTATCCATCATTTATGGCTAGGACTACTGGGGAACATCAACTGTGGGAAGAAAGAGAAATGAGTCCTTGATGGATGAAGAGCTAAGGGACCAAATGGATTGATGCCAAAGATTGAAAGAAGGAATTCTGCCCTTGGGGCCACAGTTCGACTGTAACTCACAATGAGGCAATGCCAACCAAACGGCTTTCGAACGTGGAAGAGAATGGGAGGGGGACACGGCTGAGTAGGCAGGCTTTTGGGGTGAAGGGACAATAAGGTCTTGGGACATTTGGTAGCACCCTAGAAAGCTGTGAAAATGGGCAGCTTGCCCATAGACCATAGAATAGAGCCAACGGTCCTGCTCTGGGGTGGTGAACCTCATGCTTCAATCTCAGGAAAAGTAGGAACCTGGATAGGCTCGTCCGTGCTATCTTGCCTCCCCTATATATATGTACTTCTTGTATTACTTACATCATGAAAACCATTTTCTGCGTTATTCCATGTGACGCATTTCAGTATAATAGATATATTCCACCTGTAACTTCCATTCCAACCTAACCAACCACCAAGTCACAGAGAGAGGAGATTGTGAATTTTATGTGCATCCGCATGACTATTTCAACCGTTTGAGTCTAATAGTTGACGTTATATCCTTCTTACTTCTGAATGAGTTAGTAAAAATAATTATTTTGACTGGAAGGATGAGCATGAGGTCTGGTCCTGTGATTTCATACAAGTTGACTCACCCTTTCTTACCTTCTTCTTATATCTCAAACTTAAAGTAGCTCAGGTTTTTAATTGTTCTTTTAAAAATACCTGCCATTTTTAGAATTCCCTTCCATGGTATGAAGTATTGTCCGTTGCTAGCTGTCAGCTTTTAATATTAAACCTTTTATGATCAGATTGCAGATGGAATGACTTTAGAAGTGCGTATTGTCAATCTTTTGCTTGAAACTCACGGGGGTGCTAGACAAAAAGGAAGAGCAACCTGGTATTTATCTGTTATTTTCGCTTGCTTGTTAACTCCCCCCCCCCCCCCCCCACCAAAACAAACAAAAAAGAGAAAAAAGAAAAATTCTTTTCATCTGTTATTCTGACTTTGCCTTTTAGATACACACACACACGTGTGTGTGTGTTTATATATCATTGATATTTTCTCCATGAACAGCTTGTCGGAATGTAAATTTGAATTATTTGGGTCACATTTTTAAGTGTTACTTATCAGGCTATGGGATTTCTTTTTCTTCTTTCAGGCATGCTTCAATTCCTTGAATTATATATTATAACTTATTCATTTTTGTATTTTCTTCATGCTTTGAGGTAGTGAAATTCAGACTTTGAATTTTAAATATTCATATTGAAATGAAATTCTGATCTGAATATTAGGTGGTAGATTTTTGCTTTGTTGTTGTTTTATCAAGTAGAGGAAGCCTTGGATTTGCAGTAAGGTGTTGCTCCTTTTTGGGTGGAAGGTCATGGTTTTCAGTTGTAGTAAGGCAGCATATGTTTTGTGAACTCCCACAGACCAAGCAAAATAGGAGCCTCATGGCCTTTGGGCATTAATTTTTCCCCACTTAAATCTAGTAGATGTTTGTTGGACTTCAAAGTCACGATATCCTGATTTATCATCTACCTTACAGACTGATCAATATTCTTTTTTCTTTTTCTCCCGGGAAAGAGAGGGGAGGGAGGAATTTCTCAAACATGGCAGTCACTGTTCATGTATTTCATTCTTGTTTTTCTTTTTCCATGTTTTTCCTAGCCTGACCCTTAACTGGAATCATTGAAAAATCAAGTTGAAGATGATGTCTGGATAAAATATGCCGAGGGAAATGATCAGGTGAAATCTTAGCTGGCCATATTTAAGAACTCCTGATTGTTGATACTGGACAACTATTTAAACTTTCAAGAAGCCTCTGAAAAACATTTTTGAAAAGTAAGTAAGATAAGGATTACTAAGATAGCTTTTGACAGCCTTATTCTGGATTACAAGCTCTTAGATTCCTTATTTGCTTGAAAAACTCTGGGAACAAACTTCAATTCTTTATCTGCGTGTTTGTTTTTCACTTCTCAATATTTATTCTGAGAAGTCAAGTGAACGTAACCAACAGAATACCAACATAATAAAAGGTTTTCATTCCATCATTTTGCATTTAAATTTCTGTATTAATTAAGTTTTGTTACTTGGTTTCTTATGGACATCAGTCCTTGCTACTGAGGATGCCAGCCTTTGCAATTATCTTTATTTTCATTGTTATCCCCTTGGCAGGGCATCACCAATGGCATCTATTACCATCCGAAACCTCTTTCTCTATACTACGAATGAAAATTGGCAGGTGATGTTCTGAAATTGCTAGTATCAATTACGCGTTCAATTGCCATTTATCTGCTTTAAGGCGAATTGCTCATTCCAAGAATTTCCCAAAACAGGTGGTTAATTTGAAAGAAGCAAGGGAATTTTCCACCAATAAAAACTTCATTTATTTGTTCAAGGTATCATGTCACCAACTTTTCTGATTGCTTGGTTTTTTTCCTTTCCTTCTATTTTGATTTTCTCTCAATTAGAACTTTTGCTTTTCTTTCTTTCTTTTTTTTTTATTTTTTTATTTTTTACCTTTTGGGTGGTGGTACTTCTCTGAACTGCTTTATCACACTTTACTTTTTAATTTTGGAAGTGAAGGCAGCATGCGCTTTTTTATGAGTTTGTCTCTTCTGCGATCAGTTTTAGCTTTTTCTTCAATTCCGTGTGTTGTGCAGTTCATGTTTATTCGATTCATTGAGCTTCTCTTTGTTTTGTTTTCAACCAGAAACTTGAATGGGATTCTTTATCTATCGATCTTCTGCCTCACCCTGACATGTTTGCTGATGGTCATTTTGCGAGTTCTAAAGAGGGATCAAATAAGAAAGATGATGATGGGGCAAAGCGAGTATTTTTTGGTGGGGAGCGATTTATTGAAGGAATATCTGGACAGGCTTATGTAAGGCAAACTAGACAAAGATTAGAACTCTCTTTATTTATTTTCCAGAGATCAGTCTAGGTTTACATTTTGAGGTGATATAGAGATATATTGTTTATTTTCTAAAATTTTTGTATTGTGACCAGATCACAGTACAAAGGACAGAACTGAACAGTCCACTGGGGCTGGAGGTTCAGTTACATATTACAGAAGCTGTCTGCCCTGCTTTAAGTGAACCGGGTAAGAAAATTTTTTTGTTTTAATGTTGCCTTTGGAGGATCATTCCTTTGATTAGATTATGAATACCAAGTAACTAAGATATCATGATGTGAGCAGGACTGCGTGCTCTTCTCCGTTTTTTTACTGGATTGTATGTTTGTTTGAATCGAGGGGATTTGAAGCCGAGTGCTCGACAGGTTTTAACTTGCTCTTGTTTTTCACCCCTCCCTCCCCCCCTTCCTTTTTTCACACATTTGGTTCTAAAACACTACATTGTTAACTAGCTCTTGACCAAAAGTAACTTGAGTATTCATCTTATGTGAGCCCTTGCAGTGTTCTACAGAAGCAGCAGGGCGTTCTCTAGTTTCTATCATTGTGGACCACATATTTCTTTGCGTTAAAGATGCTGGTTAGTTTGTTCTGTTCTACTTTTTGTTGGCAGGTATTTCATTTGGTTAATTGAAGCTTTTGGCTTAAAATTTTAATGTTATGTGCAGAGTTCCGGCTTGAACTTTTAATGCAGTCACTTTTCTTTGCTCGGGTAATTTTCCACTATAGGATCAGAGACATTTACTGTTTGCCTGCCTATTTTCACGGATGTGCTGCCAGTGCTGCTTCCTTCTTTTTTGTATAGCTCGTATATTTTGCATTTAGAGACCCTTTGTCTCAATAAATAATTCAGCATCATATGTTATGTTATGCTTTTCAGGCAAGTGTTTCTGATGGAGAGAATGCCAAACACTTGACACAGGTGAAGATAGGCGGACTTTTTTTAAGGTACTAGCCTAAGAGCACATGCTATGCTTGTGACTTTGACATATTTTAAATTTTAACAGTATATACACTTAATTATATGCATGTCATCTAATAAAATTGTAAAAATTAGTGAGAATTTGAAAATTTTACACATTTTGTTTTATTTTTATAACATGCAAGACAATGATTCAAAAAATCATAATGTATTTCTTACTTTAGTCTTTAATATGTTTGGCATTACTTGCTCACTTCTCCCTTCATAATCGGCAAACCTAGATTGATATAGCGAATGAAAAAAGATTAATTAATTTTTTTTACTTAATTAATATGCATGTCATCTAATAGAATAACATAGATATTTTAACTATAATATCTCGAGCGAAAAGGACTTATACAAGTGTATATTTTAGACTAAACTATTCTTCTAGTTTACTTTCTTATTATGTTCATATTATTTTTTTTCAAACACTTGGTGGCATAATTATAAACTTTTGAACAAAAAGGGATTCGCCATACATAAAATGCATCTATTATTTGAAAGTTATTTCTTACTAATATAATTCTGTCTTATATATTTGATATCTTTCTTTTATTATCCTGATCTATTGTTATTATTTTGTTTATTTTTAAACATTTATCTAATATTTCTTTGTTTCAATTTGTCTTTCATGATAGGATATATAAATAAATGAATTCAATAATATAAATTATGTTAATAATTATTATTTTTCCAATGAACTAAAGTTAGTCTAGTGTGTTATGGTATAATATCTACTATTTAGAATTGTATTTCTATTATATTTTTTGATAATTTAATTGAGCAACATACAAGTGTACCACTTAATATTTAATGACATGCAGGGATACCTTTTCACACCCTCCATGCACATTGATACAACCATCTATCCAGGCTGTGACTGAAAGTTCCCTGCATATTCCAAAATTTGGTACAATAAGTCTTATTTCTCTGGAAGGAGTTAGTTTCAACTATAAACTATTTGTTAAGTATGATTTTATGTATTACTCAACTTGTTTCTCATCTTTTGTCTGAACAGCTAAGGACTTTATTCCACCAATATATCCACTTGGAGATCAACTGTGGCAATTAAATGGAGGTGTTCCTCTAATATGCCTCCATTCTCTTCAGCTCCAGCCCTCGCCAGCCCCACCATCTTTTGCCACAGAAACCGTTATCGACTGTCAGCCTCTTGTGGTGTGCATCAGTTGTTTTAGTGGCAGACCTCTTAAACATATGTGTCCTGATAGCTCTAGTTTTAAACATCATTTTCTCTTTTATTTTTTCAGATTCATCTTCAGGAAGAATCCTGTCTGAAGATTGCTTCCTTGCTAGCTGATGGAGTAGTGGTCAATCCTGGTGCTGTTTTACCAGATTTCTCTGTTAATTCTCTCATATTCAATCTCAAAGGTTTAGATGTCACTGTTCCTTTGGACATGGGAAGCCCCGTCAAGTCTGAGGACAATGGCATCAACAACTCTAATTTTCAGAGGTCTTTTACTGGAGCAAGGCTTCATATTGAGAATCTGTTCTTCTTGGAGTCACCTTCCCTAAAACTCAGGCTACTGAATCTGGAGAAGGATCCTGCTTGTTTTTGTCTCTGGGAAGGTCAACCTGTTGATGCCAGTCAGAAGAAATGGACTGCTGGAGTTTCTCTTTTTCAGTTGGCTCTTGAAACATGTAATGACTCAGCTGCACTTCCGAGTTCTCCAAATTTATCTCCAGAGTTGTGGAGATGTGTTGAGCTGAAAGAGGCTTGTGTTGAGGTAGCTATGGCAACTGCTGATGGCAGTCCATTGATAACTGTTCCTCCAGCAGGAGGGTTGGTCAGAATTGGAGTTGCTTGTCAACAATATTTGTCCAACACTTCAGTTGAGCAGTTATTTTTTGTGTTGGATCTTTATGCATACTTCGGTACTGTCAGTGAGAAAATAGCCATCATTAGAAAAGGTAGCCAATCAAAGAAAGGTGATAAGGAATCTCTGGGTGGGAGATTAGTGGATAAGGTTCCTAGTGATGCTGCCATAAGTTTGGCAGTGAAGGACCTCCAGCTGAAATTTCTTGAATCTTCCTCTGTAGTTATTCAAGGAATGCCACTGGTTCAGTTTCTTGGAGAAGATCTATTTTTCAAAGCTAATCATAGGACTCTTGGTGGTGCAATAGCTGTGTCATCTAATTTACGATGGGAGAGTGTTGAGGTAGACTGTGCAGATACTGCAGGAAATTTGGCACGTGGGAATGGCATTCCAGTGACTTCTGCTGACAATGGTATTCTGATGGCTGGGAATGGACATCCTAAACTAAGAACTGTCTTTTGGGTGCACAATGGTCAGAAGCCTCAATTAAACGGGAGAACCTCCTCTGTTCCATTTTTGGACACAAGTATTGTGCATGTGATTCCTCTTAATGCAAGAGATGCGGAGTGTCATAGTTTAAATTTGTCAGCTTGTGTTGCCGGTGTTAGACTTGGTGGAGGAATGAATTATGCTGAAGCCCTCTTGCATCAATTTGGAATTTTGGGGGCCAGATGGTGGTCCAGGCCAGGGACTCTCTAAAGGGTTAGAGCATTTATCTGTGGGACCTTTGTCGAAACTTTTCAAAGCATCACCTCTTATTGCAGATGGGATCCAAGAGAGTATGAACATTAGACTTATTTTTATTTCTTTTTTTCTTTAAAAAAAAATTCTTTGAAACTATCTAGTAAGGCTTGATTTCTCAGAGTTTTTCCTTTTGAAATTCACTTTGGTCTCATTCTCATATCTTTAATATCCACTTTTTGTCTGCTTGCTCTCTCCTCTCTCCTTTTCCTTCCTCCTGATGGGACTTCAGGAAATGGGCATGACTATGATTTCTTGCACTTGGGAACTCCTGATGACGTGAACATATCAATAGAATTCCAAGATTGGTTGTTTGCTCTTGAAGGAGCAAAGGATGATGCAGAAAGGCAATGGCTAGAGATCCACCGAGATCTTGGCAGAGAAGAAAGGTGCTGGCATGCAACTTTCCAGAGTTTGCTAGTGAAGGCAAAAAGTTGTGCAAGTCCTGTAGTGAATTGCCAAGAGAAAACAAAAGAACAACTGAAATATCCTGTCGAATTGGTTACGGTGAGAATTGTTTAGTAGTTCCCTTTGGCTATATGAAACTGTACAAGATATAGAAATGGATTGATTGTGGTTTTTCCCTTTTTGGTTAATGTATGTTTCCTCAGAATGCCTTTTAGATAGTGTATATGTATTGCTGGCATAGCCTGTAGCCTGGTAGATAATTTTAGCACAGGAACTTTACCAGATATAAAGATAGATAGTCATGTTCCTTTTTTTCTTAGTTGTTTTTTTTTCCTTAGAATGCCCTGTACATGAGTCAAATAATTCTAAATAGTTACGCCATTTTAGTGTATATCATTGGGATAGTCTGTAGCCTAGTAGATATTTTAGGCTATGAACTTTTTAAGATATCAAAATAGATTGATTACTTTTATTTTTTTTATTTAGTTCCTTGGAATTCCTTATACAAGGTTAAAATTATTTCTAAGTATTTTATACCATTTTAGTATAATTAGATGGCATGTGTGTTGCACATGAAGAGTTCGTTAGAAATTATGGACAATGCCTAGTTTTTGTGGATGTTATGTTTCAAATAAAGACATTTCATATTATCATGGTGTGATAAAATCATATTTTAAGTTCAAAATTCTATAGGAAGAATTTTGTAGAATTAGTTGCAAATACCATCAGATATCCGGAGCAAATCGAAAATTAATGTTGACAGAAAATATATATTATTTCAGCGGGAGAATCTGTTGGAAGTTCAATTTTGTATATAACACATATTAAGTATTTAACTTTCCAGAGGTAGATGAGGTGAAATTAAGAGGTAGAATTATCCTGGAACCTCTATATTCACAAGTAAAAATATATATCCATTTTACTGCGTTGAATTCTTCAGTAATCTTGGCTTATGACCATGTCCAATATCCTTATTGCTTACCATTCTTCTGCGTTGATAAAATGGCTGCATTGTTGGATATTATATAATACTACATTATACTGCTTGCAGGTAAGTGTTGGGGGCTTGCAGATCTTAAAGCCTCAGTTGCAGAAGTGTACCTTTCAGGATGGATTACCTCTACAAATGCCCAAAGGGGCTATTGACGTATATGGTGGGGTGAATGTGGAAGTTTGCATAGTGATATCTAAAGATGATTTTGATGAGGAAATGGTGAAATGGGTGGTCGAAAACTTGAAGTTTTCTGTTAAACAGCCGGTAAAATGCTTTTAAATTAGCATCTTAGTTTTGTCTCTTGTGGCTTGTGAGTAAAGTCTGTGAAGTGATGATTTTTATTTCATAGATTGAGGCAGTTGTGACAAAGGATGAGCTGCAACACCTTGTTCTTTTGTGCAAGTCTGAAGTTGACTCAATGGGTCGCATAGTTGCTGGAGTCCTACGGGTTCTTAAGCTGGAAGGTTCTGTTGGTCAGGCAGCTATCAGGCAACTAAGCAACCTTGGTATGATGCTCATCTTAGATTATGTTACCGTAATTGTAGGCCTTTATTAATTATTATCATTTAAATCTCAGAAAACTCGACTTACAAGTGTGATTGGGGAAGGCATTAAGAAACATTGTATGGGGAGTTTTATTAGGTTTAAGGGTGAAGTGTATGGCCTTATTGTCTCAAAATGCTGAAATAGATTCTAATTTTTGTGAACAGAGGGGCCTTAAGTTTCTCTGATTCCAAAAGGTCGCAACTGACCGAATTATAAGAATTGGAGCTACTGAAGGGCCTAGGTAGCAGCCATATTATAGTGTTATGATATGTTAAATTGAATGCCAAGGGGAAAAGAAGGGAGAGGGGTAATGCTTGGCTGCTAAGGAGATGCTGTCTACATCTTTTTAGTTCCTAGACAATGTGAAAAGTCATTGTTGTCATATTTGTTGAGAATAATGACCAAAGACCAGGAACAGTAGCCTCAGACCCTTTGACAACAGAGGAGAAGAATAGAGCAAATAGGAAGAAGTTCACCCTTAAAAGGATTATTAGGTGCCTAATCGTTGTTTTAGATTTTTAGTCAGCTCGTACTAGCAGTGGCTTATTATCCATTCTCCTTTATTTGCAAGCCAAAGCTCAGTGTCATTTTAGCTTTACCTTGCTGACTAATAGTGAATGTTGCACCTAATGTTGCTTGTCAAGTGTATGTTGCACTAAAAATATTATTCAAACACCGTGTCACGGGATTCTGGACCTATTAATCAGCCCTGACCATCCATCGTACTAGTCCTCCTTCATGTTTTGCTGGACTTATTTTGGTAATCCAATTGTTTCTCTTTCTAGTTTGTTCAGGGTAATGCTATCTTGATAACTTTTTGGCTTTGGTTAAAATATGGCATGTAGTTTGGGTGTGTTTTGCCCGCAGTTATGACCTATCAAATCTCTGTCTCATGGAATGGCCATTCTTATTGATGTCTGAAATGTTTAAGATTTCTTACGAGTCATTTTTTATTTGTTGAGATATTCAGAATTTCAACAATTGTTATGACTTGCAGGAAATGAAAGTCTTGACAAGATTTTCAGTCCAAAGCTCGATAGAGGTAGTTGTTTCAGCAGCACAGGGTTAAGTTCACCTTTAGCAGTCTCACATGAAATCCTGCACCAACATTGGAGTCAACCGTGGCCTCCCTTGAAGAGGCCCTCTCGGATTCTCAGTCTAAATGTGCAGCCCTTACTGCTGAACTCTCCTGTTCGGAATCTTCTATACAGCATGCCGATGAAATTAAAAAACTCTCTAAAAAACTTGAGAGCATGCAGAGTTTGTTGATGCAATTGCGGACACAAATCTGATTGGCCCTTTTTAGTTTTGTTTCCACAATTTAGCGAGGAAAGCATCCCAATATATAGTTTGCCCATTATTTTTTCTCCAGGTGTATATATACATATATGAAGAGTGGCAAAATACATGAGTGTACGTTCCTGATCAGGCAAATGCGAGAATGATAGATACAATAAGAAATTTTGTACGGAATTTTGTAAAATGTATAGGAATTTTCTTCTTTCATTCTACTTGACATTAAAGTTACAAGCAATGAGCAACCCATGATTTCACTGGGGTGTTAATAAGATAATTTTGAATTTGTATCGTATCCACATCCAATTTTGCGATGGTGGCTGTTAATACAACATTAATAGTAATCATAATCACCTCAAGTTGGCGTTAGTGCTGATTTGGCATGAGAAAATTTGGCAACAATTCTTATACTTGGCCTTTTAGAAGATCTAGACAGCAGCTATTGTTTCTAAAGATCTTGATGGTCTAGACATATTAGAATCTTGAATGCTAAAGAATATATCAAGAGGTTGCTTTAACCGACAGCCAGTTATGAAGATGGATCCTATGTAAGTTTGAAATAACTTGCTAACAAGAAGCAGCCAAATATTTTGCTTAGATAATTGGCAAGCCAATCAGCAGGTTGTATCACTTTTCTTCTCTGACACCAATGTAAATAACTTCGATTACCAGATAAAGCATTAGTCCTGTTAAGGACCAAGAGCACATACCCAGTAAATCTCCTTAAACAGGGCGATTAACAATTTAACGTCTACCTTACAACATGCACAATTTCTACAAAAGCTTGCCATGTATTACACATTGGGGTCCCAAGATGAAGGTGCTTCAGGAATAGGCATCTGAGGTGTCCTGTCTTTTATCTTCCTGCCAATTTAAGTCAGCAAATCGTGCTTCAAGAATGTCCTAGGATGATGTTGCTACTGTGTCCCAGCGCCAGATAGTTCCGTCCTCACAGCAACTAAGAATGGTGCTGCAATATGGTTTCATGACAGTGATCAAATCAGTGAAAGGAAAATCATATGAAGTTTCCAGAGCCAAGACTAGTCAGACTAGATGGGAAATTGGGAATTTACCTTCCATCAAAAGACATGGCAGTCTGTCTAATTGGTGACTTGGACTGAACATGAGACAACCTGAAAGTAGTTAAAGGCATCAAAAACCATTCGCGCATAAAAATGTCATGTATCTATGATATTAGTTTGACAACAGAAGTGTATGTTTTCTGTTCTCTGTTTCTTTTTAATTTTTGATTTTCTTTTGGGAGGGGGGTGGGGAGCGGAGGAATGGGAAGGAAGAAAAAGGAAAACCTTGCACATAAGAACAGGAGGACTGGATTGAAGTTCCCACACATAAATCTTCCCTTCCCTATTCCTGTTGAAAGAAATACAAAGCAGGATAAGAGCTTTCTCACAATTGTAATGTTTAAATACCCCTGAATAATAGTAATCTACTCCAAGAAGGCCTTCAAAGAAAAGGAGTGAAACAATTCCCACAAGGAAAGACCCTAGTGACTGGTTACCTATGGCTGCTGCATTATAATGGAAATCCATGAAAACTTGATAAACCAAATATCGCATTCTGGAACCGGGTATTTTTGAAGGATGTCAGCTGAACCCTGAAACATAAGATTGCAAGATATTAATACAAACAACATAATCTTATATGTGAATTAAATTCAGCAACCATATACAAGTTACAAAATTTACAGCTTCCAAATGAGAAATGAGAGCTAAGAATATTCTAACCTCTCCAGGAGATTGTTCCTTCATCTTTGGTTCCCACAACACAATTTCATTGTCAACACTCTGAAAATGGACAAACCATCAGGATGGTTAAAAAATTAAAACTACAAATTGGTTATAAATAAGGTTTCCAGTTCTGGATGTCAACTCTTGAGTGTGTCAGGAAATGTTACTGTGAAAGCATTGATGATTTCCCATCTTGTAATTTATAAAAATATTCCTTAAGCTAAAAGGATAAACAATGTTTAGAGCAATGGTAAGTAGTAACTATTGATGATACATCTTCTTCAATGAACAAGTTAGTAGTGGTCAGTTTGGAAGTCAGAAAAATCACCATATCAAACTGACAAGCCCCCTACAGAGACTTCCGCTTCAAATTCACTCTCTCCCACAAGAATAAAATTTACAAAGGAAATTCATTCCAATAACCCAAGGGAAATCAGCTATAAGAAACTATTTAGCATTCCATTCAATTTGATTTAGCCACTATTGGATCCCTCCCCTCTTTTCTCTTCCTTAATGCCAAAGGTGAAGATCAACAAGTAAACCCAAATTCTGTAGCTGGCAAGAAATATTGCGCATAAGGATATACGGTATAAGCAAATTTTTTTTAATATTTTGCATATGGAAAAATATCATAATACGTTATTCGGTACAAATAATAATATGCATTATGCAGTAAAGCCACTTACCTTTGACAGTATAAAATCACCAAGCCACCGATTACAGTCAACATAGTTTGTATGAATTTGAGCCATAAATATCTGACATGGTAGCAAGTAGCGAGTGGCACATAGCTCAGATAAAATGCCAGGATATATTAATCTATTAACATAAAAACAAACACACACTCACAGGAAACTGTACATATTTTGTGGGGAACTTTGAAGGAAGATCTGTCCATGTGAAAGATTTCTCCACATAAGTCCAGAACTCTACAGATAGTTGAATAAATAACAAAAGAAGGATTAGAAAATAGAAATTGATGTTTATTTGATACTATTTGACATAACTCTTAGAGAAGCATAACTGAACTAGATGCTCTGGTGTCAGCTTGAATTCTCGGACAAAGGGAAAATACTTGCTATTTGGGACATATAATTTGTAAACACTACTTTATGTTTCTTTAACTTCATGGAATGGAGTGGAAGAAATCAAGAAAGAATTTTCCTTCAATTACTACAATGATTTCATGTCACCAAAAATCCCAAGATCACCAGAAGTAGCTCCTATTTAGGTTTATGAAATAATATTTTCTAAACTTCAAGCATAACAAGGGTCCACATCCATCCACTAATTATCTTATTTCCCAAATACTAAAGCTAGGAACAGTAAATATTAAGTTAATCTGTAACTTAGATTACAAATTTTTGCAACTATTGGTGGCAATAACAGTAAAGCAGAAATTTCACCTTTCATTGACCAGATTTTAACAGTATTATCCATTCCACAACTTGCAATTCGATATATGTCTGAAGGATGGAAGTCCTACAACAGTAACAAGAAAATGTCATTCATTATACTTAGAATGCACAAGAGATGTAAATTTCTCATCTCCCCCTTTCTTTATAACTGCATACCACACTCAAGACTTCATTGCGGTGACCACCAGCTCCAGCAAATATCAAAATGCAAATTTCCTGTGTGAACATTCAGAGTCGAACTGATTCATCCTAGTTCAATCTTGACCATCAGTCAAATGTTATAAAACCAAAGCCTTAACATTAATATCAAAAAATATTCTTGATCTATTTTTTATGAGAAAGCTAAAAAACTTACTTTGCTTGCAGACAACACAAGGGAAGGTTTTAGTGCCTGAGTTCTTATTTCATTTATTGAGTCCCCATGGCCAACAAAACTCTGCAAGTACAAGAATTTAAAAAAAAAAAAAAGTTGAAGAAAGAAGTATAAGTTCACTGTCTGTAAAATGTAATTTTCAAGATTTGCGTACATCTAACCAGTGTAGTTCACG